AGGAAAACTCCTGAGAGCCCGGCGATTACACAAAGGGACATTGTCGTGTTTGCTCTTCACTCTGAAGTACTACTTTGCCCTTTAGGGGAAATTGTACAGTTGATTTTTAGAAAGAAAATCAGGATATATATGAATATAAAAACCTGTCTCCAGATGAGAATGTGGACTACTTGACTTTTTGAAAGGACAGGACATCCTAAAGGTCACAAATTAGGGTTTTGCAGAAGCACAACTCCTCTCCCTTCAAATGTATCTATATTTAAGAAATGTCTTACAATTAGTTTTCCCTATGGATAAAATGACTAGATACTTAATGCGCACAGCTCACTTTTTTCCATCCATCCTTTCCCTCTGTGTCATCTAAGCCCAGTTCTGTAGCTTTTGATCATCCTCACAGTACCTAGGGACTCTCTCGATTAGACAGGCCTTCACTCAGACACACACACACACACACACACACACACACACACACACACACACACACACACACACACACACACACACACACACACACACACACACACACACACACACACACACACACACACACACACACACACACGCAAACTAACACACACGCACAGGTTTCAGACTCACCCAGCTGTAGGAGAGGGACATGAGCAAATGGATAGCTAAGCTGCAGGGAGAAAAAAGAGAGATGTGTGCAACACAATAGAAGCACTTTTTGGATTTTAAAGGACAGTATACCTTTGTTGAAATGTTCTCCAACCAAACATTTCACCAGTTTTAAACCATATGGGTTGGCAAATAGACAAATGTATTGTTTTAAGTGATTTCTAGTTTGAAGATTTTTTTTTAAGTGGGGACACTTCAGTTCACAAATGCTAATATTTTATCATGAATAAATACTTCAGCGTTTTATACAAATATGCTTATTCACTTTACTGCATACTATTGTCCCATCTGTAAGGTAATAGTAACAGCTGCAGGTTAGCTTAGCATAAAGACTGGAAACCAGGGGGAATGGCTAGCTCACTAACAAACATGATATATTTTTGTTTGTTTGAGCCTAATACAGTTCAGTATATAAGAAAATTGCATTTGTGTATTTGTAATGTAAACATAGAGAAAATGATGTAAAAAAATAACAAAATAAAACAGAAGATTACAATCCAGACCAATATATCTTAGGTTAAAAAAGTATGTTTTTTTTTTTTTTAAACCAGCATTAGGTTCAACCCTTCTACAAGACCAGCCTTCAGAATCATACATACTTTTTACTAAAGACTTAGACGGCATATGCTTTACAAAAGTTTTTTTCTAGCCTGATACAATCTGAAAAAATATGAATACTTCAAATGTTTGGCATAGACAGAATACCACAACATACAGGAAGTTCCAACACTGAAATGATCGTGTTGCAATGTCTTTTTGCTGCAGCCTTGCAAACTGTTATCTCCTTGGTGTGTGTTGCGATGCCACAGTGATTACTCAATAACTTGTCCACGCCGGGCTCAGGTGTCGATGAAACTGGGCTCAGATGTTTCCAACCAAATCCCCCAAACACACACACTGGCATTCCCTCCTGTGCACAGCCCCAGTCAAACCCAGCGTCCTCCATGGCCCTTTTCCTGTTCCATGCTCCCCTCACTCTGCAGCATGGAGTGATGCTGCTGCTGAGAGTGAGAGGACCTCGGGCTAAAGAGCAGCAAAACAAATGCTCTCTTACGTAACAGGCTCTGCTGCTGAATTACACTCTGGACAGGGCAGGCCAGCAGAAATTAAGAGGAAGAAAAATGAAGCTACAGCCAAAATATCTGGGGCATAAAAGCATAAAAACCTTTATGACTCAGAAGACCCATATTTAAAGGAATGGCTTGACATTTTGGGAGTGAGACTCGAAGCTGGGGACGTATAGGCAGACAACTAAATAAAATGTTCTTCCTTATTTGTTGTATGTATGCTTGCTTAGCCTATAGATGTCAGAAAAATAGAGAAAACTACCAATGATGACCTCCCAAAGCTGTAAGTGAAAAAAAATTCAAATCGCTGATTTTTGTCTTTATCTTCAAGTTAAAATGAATGAAAACAAAGACAAGCGGCTAATCTGCACTTTTGAGAGACTAGAACTAGCAAATGTTTTATATTTTGCCTGAATAATGACTTAATTGATCAAACAAATTGTTGTCAATTGAACCTTTTAGTGGAGTTGGTTTCAACATAACTACAAAATAATTACATTCTGCCTTTTGAAATTGACACTGATAGAAATGAACCATATTGATTTCCAAGAGAAGGGGGAAATGATCAGTCATTGTCAAAGAGCACTGCCTGACATTTCTCGTATGACCTTTTGTTCAACAAGGCTACGAATCAAAAAGAAAATAGTCATTCTTCAGCAGTTACTAGATAAAAAGGCTAGGACATGTATAACTAGAAGATGTAAGTCAGGCTTCCTACAGAAAAACTAATGGATGGACAGCTTTATCCAGATCACCTCATCTTATTTCAGAGAGGAGTCCTCAGAAACACACCATGCTTCTTTTCCATGTAATGTGTATTCACAGCCTGAGTGATTCTGCATGGTTTCCGCAGAGTAGAGACACAGGCATGATGGAGGACTGCTGGGCTATTTCCATTCCTCCTCTCAAGTTCCCAACATGGAAAATTACTTTTATAGATATCATTCAAATAATGCTCTGCTCCCCGTGGCCATGTCTCGCCACAGATTAAGCTTTAGATAACTGCTGAGATGAGCTTCATCTAAGAGGAAAAGATCATAGTTTAAAGAGGCTGTTCAGGCCCCTGCAGGGTGAATCACTGGCAGCCAATGGGTGATTTGAACTCCTTCAGCAGCCAATGGGTGATTTGAACTCCTTCAGCAGCCAATGGGTGATTTGAACTCCTTCAAACGAATATTCTGGGGAACATTATCTTGACTTACATTATCTTTTCATTTTATGCTGCTGGGAATGCCATTCATTTTGCAGTATTGTTGTTGTTAACCATAGTGTGGGATACATTGAAATGTTGACCTGATGATGGCGTTACGGTATATGAAAATAGTAAGGGATCACAATAGGTATCACAAGTCATTCTTAGTGGGGCATGAATCCAATCCAGATATTATTTATAGAGATATTTCATTCAAAACCACTGAAAGTCAACAAACTCACTAAGATTCAAATTCTCAAGACCATTTTATGCCATTGCAATAGGATTAAACCAGACATTTGTTCAGTCTGGAACAATTCCACAATCTATTAATTCCACTTTCACATAATGTTATCACAGGAACACTCGAGGGTATAGAGAAGACATACAGTATCTATCAATGCATGACAAAAAGAAGAGGAGGAGGTTATAATGATTTCTCTAGCAGTACATGTTGGTATTAAAAGCTGGCAGACATAGATGTATCTTAGTGTTATATCAGAGCACTGCATCAGAAGGATTTGTGTGTTGAGTTTCTTGGAGAGCTCTGGGGAATCTGGGAAGCTGCCATCAAACCAAAACTGTGTCACAGGAGGAGGAGGTGGGTAATACATTGCTAAGATTATTACAGGGGGTTCCTCCTCCAGAGCATATAACAGCTTGCTGTATAGGCTTCTGGAGGAAGAGGAAGTGAAGAGGGGGAAGATGTCTTTCATCCTATATGTCAACCTTTAAAATATGCGTGTGTTCCTGGATATATATAACGACCTTTCCCTCTGTACTCTACTTTAAATGGATGTTTTGCTTCTGTGTAAAGTGCAAAACTCAAAATCCTTCATGGTTTCATGAACTTTTCTTGGAGTAGTCCCTTTTCAAGGATACACTTAACAACATACAGAAGATATAATAGTGCATTAGTGTGGGACATGGTGGTCATACTTAATCTATATTAGAAGTCACAGCCAATAAGCAGCTGTCCTCTGTAGTGCTGAAACAATTACACACCAAAACCAATACTTGTTTTTAAGCAATGGAAAAAAATCAGTTGCATTTTCTTCAATGTGAAGGTTTTCTACATCAGACCAAAAAAGGCATTTGGACCTCTGACTTATAGCATTTCACATTTTGTACTCTTGCACTCTTTATTCTGACAGTTTAAACTTAATCATAATCCTTTTGTTGGAGCTCTTTGCCAAATATAGTGCTGTTTTCAACGCATGCATTTTGTAACTTTGATTTGTTTTGGTTGACCTTTGTGTACGCAAACGAAATATCTCTCATGCAAAGGTCTGGTGATATCATGGCAAGTTCATTTGTGACTTGAGTCGCACTCAAGTCCAAGTCATGTTCCTCGAGTCCTCATCTCTGGCCAGAGTCGTTTCAGGACTACAAGTTTGAAAATAAATGTTATAAAGAAGTGCGTTGAACAAACATCAGTATCCAGGCTTAAGACTACATTAGCCATTATTAACAGTGCACACCCAAACCACAGTGTCTGGTTGCATTGTGGGTAAGGAAGGCGTCAGGTTTTAACAAGGTCAAATAATGTGTGAAATAGCGTGGTGAGGTGAAGATATGTTCTTGTAGTCAGACCACTACAAGTTAGTATCGGTTAGCAGGTCACATGACTTCACATCTCCAATAGTAAGCTTAAAGCGCCTGGTGTTTGGCGTGATGACGTTTAGCATTCTCATTTTGCCACTTGTTAGCAACCGCCCATTTTTTAAGACATTTAAAAGCTAGGTTTTTATGACATATTTTATGTCGTGGAAAAACACATGAAAATCCCTTCAGCTTTTATTAACCACATATCTTATTTCAGGCATCTAACCACAAACATATCCAAAACATTGATTCAAGACAAGGGAACAGGAAGTGCTCAAATACTAACTAATTTCCAGGTTTGGAAATCCTTGCATCAATCTATATAGAAGGTAATATATATGATTCTGCTGCATCAATTATAACCAACTTTCCATCATTAGTCTAACATGTGTCACTGCAGTTCTCTTTCAAACATGACATGCTGCTGGATACTCAACCCTTAACATCTTCTAAGCAACAACAGCCTCTCCAATCAAATCATGACCTGATTGTCCACTCACCAAGTCCTTGGTTGTGCCGAGTCTCTTCAGCCCGTCCAGGGGCAGGAGGTCAGCTGAGTCCTTGTGTGAGAACTGGGTGGCCTGCTTCAGACGCCTCTGCTGGTGCAGGATGGCTTTATCCCGGATGGCAAGCTCACCTTTCTTCGCCTCACTCATGTTCTTGGTCTGTAAAGCAGTCTTTTGTGGAGATTATAACCTCAGCAGCAGCAGCAGCAGCAGCAGCAGCAGAGAGAGGCTTCTGCAGACAGAAAGAGACAGAGTGTGCGTATGCAGAGAGGCTGAGAATCCCCAGAAGGCAGCTTTTTTAGGATTGCTTTCGGTCCTTTTTAAGCACCAGAATAAACCTTCCGCCCTGTTCTGCCCTTTCTGAAATGCCCTTCCCTCTGGGCTCTGTCTTTCTTTCTCTGTGTTTGTAGTCCTGGCATGTATTTGTCTCTGCAGCTTTAGGAGCTATTGTCCTGTCCTCTGTTGAAGACATGCATCTTCCTCCTCACACTGTCAAGATCTGCCTCAGTGTAGCAGAAGCTGTGTGGAAGGTGTGAGTGAGAGTGTGTTATTCCCCCTCCCCTCAGTGCCGTCTGTCCATGGATCTTTCTCTCTCTCTCTCTCTCTCTCTCTCTCTCTCTCTCTCTCTCTCTCTCCTCCGATCCCACCTCTTTCCGTCACATACTCAACAGACGCATGCTCACCTCTTAAATACAGAGCACATTTCCTCCTTTGACTCAACTGAAAAAACACTGTATACTGTACATCAAATACATACATTAATAAATGCACTTGAAATGTGGGCTGTAACTGGCAATTATTCTCACTGTCACTGACTTTCTAGATTAATTGCTTGATCTTTAATATCAGGAATTAGTTAAAAAGGTCCATCCCAGTTTTCAAAAGTCCAAGGTGAAATGTTTTATTTAGAAAATCCCCCAGATTTCAGTTTTATTATGACATAAATATATAAGCCTCACATATCCATATCTGAGAGGCTGCAAACCGCATGTTCTGCCAAATGTGCATGGAACATCACAACTCATTCTCAGTAGATCCCTGAAAATCGTTTCATCCATTCAGTTAAATAAGATTCTCTGTCTTTTATTCTTTACAGAGATGTTTCACCATGCTCTCGTCTCACAGCCAGCACAGTTTGAAGTATTGCTCCCTGAGCAGTGATGCTGTGGAGGTGTGAGATCACTGTGGTCCGACAACAGGATCAATCTCCTCTGATTGATGATAACAATTGATTTCCTCCTCCCCCGTTGCAGCCAGAGAAACCCAATTTCCAACACACATCCAACTATCCATCCAGGCTCACCAACAAACGCTGGAAATATCACATCCATCAGTGTTGATGACCTCCAGATGATGACACATTGTGAACGTGTTGATGATTCAGCCTACAGGTGCGATTGGGTTTATGTGATTCAACAAACTCAGCTTATTTTACTGACGTTCATGACGTACGAGTAGAGAATTTGCTCAGAAAAGGCATGTTAATGCTCAAATGGAGGATTTAAAATATATGATATTTTATTGAAGGAGGGAATCCTTGTGAAGGTGAAGTGGAAAATAATGTTTGCATGCTGAATATATGTTATGTTTAAAAGCATGTGTCGCCCCCTGCTGGTCAACCTTTGGTATATTTATTTTTTCAGTTTTTTTTTTTTACCGTTTTTTATCAACAACGTAATCTACATTTTTACAATTTGAGGTTAACCGTATTATAAATGTGTTTTTATTGTTTTTTTCCAAGCAAAACTTCACAATTCTATTAGTTTGATATAATACACACAAGTAGAATATGGAGGAATGACCAAGTTGAAAACAGTAATTAAAGGACGGACAGCTAAGCAGAGCCCTGATAATTGTCTTTATTATCATGAACTAAATTCCCCAAACTATCAAACAGATCAATAATGCACAGAGAAATCCACCAAATCCCACAATAAAAGTGCTGCATTAACACACAAATTCAAGTTTCTGAAATGCATTTGTTTTACTCATTTCCACACACCCAGTATTTAATGAAGAAACGGAAAAGTACTTCAAAGAAAAGAAGCTGCTGCATGCTAGCAGAGAAAGAAATGAAACACAGCAGTTTGGTCAGTTGCTGGCAATGTAACAAAGTCTTGCATTTTGTGCTCATTTTGTATAGAGCTCCATTATCTGAGGTTGCAGAAGGCACATGTGCATCGTTCCTTTCATGGAATTGCGCTTGAAGCTTTGCTTAAGTGTTTCTCTGAAAAAGAATACTGTGCAAGTGTACACACATTAAGCTCCCTCTGAGCCGCTTCTCCTCACAAACAACAACTTTCAAAGAATCTTTTCATTAACCTGGCAGTGTAAAACCAAAGCCATTGTTCATGATTACCTGCTATGTACAGCTCATAGAGACAAGAAATGTGTTTTGTTTCCGATATATTTTAAGGTTTGTAGTGAATTATGGATAAACCTGTACCCTAATGCGATATTTGGAGTGTAAACATCAGGAATATTGTGTCCCATAGATTTAAAATCATGCAGCAATAAAACCCAAGTTTTGTTTGTGTGTCATGTGTTAGCATTAGATTCCACAGAGGTATTCATCCGTTACATAAATAATGACCTTACAGTGTTAGAAAACTAAGGTCGCTTAATAGGGCTGCTAGTAACAATTACTAGCATTGTCAATATTTTTCTGTCTATAAAAAGTCAGATTCTCAAGGTCGAAGAAGATATCTAAACTGCCATATTTTGTCAGACCAAGAGACACATATATTCAGTTTGATATCATATTAAATAGAGATCGGGAAATCTCTATATTTTAGAGGGTGAAAACGGCATTTTCTCACATTTTTGTAAGGAATATAACTTTAAAAGATTTACAGATCATCAGAATAGTAAATAATGGGCTCTATCATTAAACCACTCTTACTGCTGTCCTTACTTTGTTTTCAGAATCATAAAAGACGTATGATGTGGTTGACCTACGGGGGCTTCATCACTTCCATACTTATCATTGTAGCTTCTTTACACATCAGCAACAGTATGTATAATGTGCGTTTCTTTTTTGGAGGCACAAAGGTCACTGTTCCCACTAATGCAGCAGAGCCCCATTCTGTGCGAGAACAAGCAAGCCACACACGGGCCCATGTTAACGCTTCATGGGCTCCTCTCCGTTTCCCATCAGCCCTTTGGATCACAGCACGTTGGGCAGGTAGAGCGAACAGAGCAGCATGTTCTGACCCAGCGCCGGGAAGCGCCTGAAGGCCTCCCAGGCGTCCGAGAAGATGTTGTACTTGAGGAAGACGCGGTGCTCCAGGCTGGTGGGCAGGCTGACGTCGCGGCTCATGATGTAGACGCCGTCGTTGTGCAGCGTGCACGTCAGGTTCAGGCCCGACTTGGACGTGTTCTCCTTCAGCTGGATCCACTCCCCCGTGGTGACGTTGTAGGACTGCACCGTCAGCACGTCCTCCGTCTGGCTGGGACGCCGCTGGCCGAACTCCAGCTCGTGAGTGTAGCCGCCCACCAGGAAGATGGTGTCCTCCACCGAGAGCATCTGCTGCTTGCGGATGTGCGCCGAACAGGAGCGAAACACCGTCCAGGTGTCAGAGGCGGGGCAGTAACGCAGGACGCTTGTGTTCCTGTCTGTCAGAGAGGAAACGGAGGATAAACTGAATCAAAGGAATAGAAGTAATAGCAGTCTTAATCATAAAAGTAAGCTAAATCAAATAATCTAATAAATGAATGCAGATTATCTTTTTTATGTTTTTTGTAAATTGTGACATTAGGGTTTTTCAACAGTCTGTAGGAAACCAGAGCAAGTGGCCATCATTATGTTCAATGTGTGGTACAAGCTTTTATTGTCTGTAATTGTATGTGTGGAGCGATGTGTGTGACAGTGTGACTGTACACTCAACAGGGTCATACCAACCTCTTGCGGTGTATCCTCCCATGACGTAGATCATCCCCTGGCACTCGCACGCTGAGAACTCGGCCAGCGGGTCGGGCATGGAGGACACACACATCCACCAGTCGTGCTCCGGGCTGTAACACTCCACCGTGCCCAGACTCTGGCCTCCGACCGCGTAAATCTTCCCCTGGACCGCCAGCAGCTTGAAGTTGGACCTGAGGAGAGGATGCAGCAAGTGAAACACGACAGCAGATAATGATACTTGAGAGGAAAGGTGTAGATCTCAAGGTGGAAACAGTGATGGGAATGTGGTAGAAGAAGTAGGATCGAAACTATGACCTATTAATAGAAAAATGGTAGGACAGAAAGTATACAGTTAGGACATTTAAACATAATGAGTTTGAATACACTGAAAAAAACGATGGAAATTCCTAATACTTTTCTTTTACTCAAAATCTCCACTTTTATTTAATGTGTTACTTGAATTTGCAAGTCATTTTGTATCTTCATTTTTATGAGTCAATTGAAATCATAGAACCAAGTAAATGTTAACTAAAGTAACAGAGTTTTCCTTTACTGTGGCCTGTGGGACACAAGTCAATTCACTCACAGTGCATCCGGCTGTGTCACTTAAGTTGAACTGTTGGTGCCTTCTTTTGTAGCGGGTTAAATTGACGAAAAGGCATAATCTTTGTTTCCAGTATATTTCTGTACTTACAGTTATGTGTGTTCGCTACAATAATTGACATGTCTGTTAAACAGCAACAAGTTGAAGTTATACGCCGTCCTCCCGCCTGATGGAGCTTCTGCAGAGGAGCTGATCAAAGAGTATCAGGTGAATGTTCTGCTTGATACTAAATTAAATAGCTATCTCAACCCAGTCAGTCTCAGTAACTTCAAAGAAGAGTTTACAGTATATTGTATGCTAACATGTTTTGACAGAATGATCGCAAATAAATTGTCAGAAAAGGACTGTGCCGAGTGTGTCATCACAGATCCATGTCCTCCATGAAGTGCAGCAAAAGAAGACGACACACCTACCAACGTGTCCATCTCCATCGAAGGATCTGAGGAGCTTGATGAGTGCAAATGTTTGACGAAGGCTTGCACACCAAAGTTGAAATACGCTTCTTTACTTTTAAAAAAATATATATATATTTTCAAAAAATTGTAAATGTCCTTAGTAAATGTTATTAATTTGTAGCTATTGAGTGTTGTTTTTTTGTTAATATTGGATTTTCGGATCTCTGAGTGACAGAACAAAAATAAATGTGTTGTTTAAAAGTGTCTACTCTACTGTTTCATGCTTTGTATAGCCTTGCTGTAAAACGGTTTTATTGAGTAAAAATTGCATTTCATGTAACAGGTAGAATAAATTACATTTAAATATTATCAACATATATATGAAATAAAAGGTAAGAATAGCAAGTAAAAACAATCTGAAAAGCCAAACATCTTTTAGTGAAGATTTGTAATAAGGTGCACATTTAGTCTTAAGTCAAATCTACTATGCAATAGTAAGTCAAATGTACTTACAAAAACGGAAATTTGACCGTAAAGTTTACTTTTGTGCCTTTAGTAACAAACACTTCTTAACTGTAAGAAGATCGCACTTGAAATATACGGTTGTTCCATGTACTTAGGTTTTCTGAGAGCAAAATCTTACCTAGATTTTCCTAAGTAAGTCTTATTTCCCTTTTTTTTCAGTGTAGCAACATGTCAATGTTTTTTCCTGTATTAAGATCAAAATAAATCTATAGCAGTTTGGACCCTTTAAGGTGGAGCCCCTGGCGGTGTGAACCCTGCCCAATGATGCTTAGAGTCCCTCTGTGCTTACCTCTTCTGGTTGAGCGGAGCCACCTGGTTCCACTCGTTCCTGCAGGGGTTGTAGCAGTGCACCGCAGAGATCTCCTGGCTCGTCATCCTGTATCCACCCACTATGAACAGGTAGTTATCGAGCACAGCTGAGCCATATCCTCTGACGTTTATCATATCTGAAGGCAGGTTGTTTGCCAGGGGTTTCCAGCGCTGCTCCATCTCTCCATACCTCAGCATGGACCAGGGCTCATCCTGATCCGGCACGTCCAAGGAGAGGCAGGTGAAGTCTCCTATGGCTACCAGGGTGGCAGTGCCTCTCATGCGCATCTCTTTGACCAGCTCTCTGACAGCAGAGGGGAGGCTGCTGAACTCTGGTCGCCTAAGCATGGGATGATAGTAGCAGCTAATGTATTTGAGGCAAGCATTGCGCAGATCATGAGTCCCGTAGACTTCAGAGAGGTTGTACAGCTCCACACAGTTGTCCTGGCGGATCTCCGAGGTGAGGAGCTTGAGGATGGAGGTGACCTGTAAGAAGGAGGCGGTCTCAATCAGGTCCTCCAGAGTCTCGTTGACAACCTGGACCTTGGAGGTGTTGATGAACTCCAGGACGAGCTCCAGGCCGGGCACACTGAGCCCCTGCAGCTGCACCGAGTCCTCCGTGGACTCCTTCATCCCGGAGCTGTACAGCGCACGGAAGTAGTCACTTTTCTCAATCAGCTTCTTTTTATTCACCTCGTAGATTTTATCATCCATGACGATGGCAATAATCTGCTCAGATGACATGGTGAAGTTTTTGTAATCTTCAAGGCTGAGTTTAGTTTTTGCCCCTTGTTCCAGCCTCCTCGGGGAGCCACTGTTTACATTTCACCGGCGAGGGAGCTCTGTGGCCGGGCTATATATGGTAATGTTCAGCCCATAGATAACCAGGGAGCAACTTTTGTTGGCCGTTGAAGCTAACTAGCTATACATTTACACTGATAAAGCTAGCCAAAAGTACCTTTTCCTCGGATGAGCATTCCTTGACAGTCGCATAGAAAAGTGCCTTTGTCTCTAAAGACGTTGTTTAAATAGTGCAGTTTATTTCTGACATTGGCAGTAACAGTTCCCATCGCATTTTATCAGCCTTTTGGGAGACAAGTGCCGAGCTGTCAACAATAACTGTTTTGATTCTGCACTCTACGTCATTTCCTTTTCTTTAATTCTTCTTTGTGGGGATATGTTTGGCAGAGCTCTTGTGTGCTGCTGCCACCTGCCGGTGATCGGACGACATGCTTAACCTAATAGATAACCTACAGTCAATATGCATAACATAAAACAACATACACACATTTTGGGATTACCTAAAGGTTCTGTATTTCTGTGATATAATTACAAAGGAAATTAATGTTAATATTATTAAAATTAAAACAATTATCTAGTAAAAATAAATGCATTTCCCAGAAGGAATTTCTATAATATCCAATTAATTGTTTTAGGATTACACTTGTTTAAAAACGGTCTAGATATTAAAACTTGTATCAAATCTGGTTGACAGGAATGTCTTTTTAGACATTCAGGTTTATACATTACAGTTATTACAACAAATTATATTCATTAAACATGTAGTAAGATCTGATTCACATTACATATTCCAAATGCTGTAGGAACAACCTTTACATGTAACCTCTCTACTTTGTAACCAGTTTCTCAGGTGTGTCAGTTTATGGTGGCTCAACTTGATTTATTGTTCAAAGAGTTGATGTGAAAATTTGCTGTAAGTGGCACTTGTCTTTTAAATTGTATGTTCTTGTCCTTTTGTTTTTGAAATGTGTTATGCAGATAAACTTGCCTCATGTGTTACATGTTATTTTCAAACTCCTAATTTTCCTACACAGGAACTTTTGATAGGTTGGTGAACCTGCAGATAGAGAACTGTTGTTGAGTTACATTTGGCATGACTCAGAAACATGGAAACATTTCCTAAAACATTTCATTTGAACATCTTAACCACTGAATATTGACCAGTGATTGAAAAATCCAAACCACGTTAATGAGTGTAAAATAAAAGCTTGTTAGAGGTGATAGTTTATAGGTTTTCAAGATAATACACATATTATTTAACTGAACCTTAAATGTACTTCAACCTTGAACCCTAAACGTTCTAACCCAAACTACATTGTTATTTTCACAATTTAGTGTTTAGTATTTTTTTTGTATAAAGTTAGATATTGTCGATCTCCTACTATGACAGGGAGGGCACTGAGGCAGAGCTAAAATAAGCTCAGCAGCCAGCAGGCCTGTTGTCCATCTCCAGCTGTCAATCAGATAAGGTGAGCGTTATCGCACTTGTGGCGTCTGTGTCTGTGTGAAGGTTTATCTCAGAGAGGAGTGAACCACCGGCTCAGACGCCTTCAAAATAAAAGCATGGAGCTTGAGTTTTTACCTCTGGTTTTTACTCAAAAGCTTCAAATCAGTTCATAAACAAGCCGTTTATTTTATATAATCAATACGATTGAATTTATTAGAATTTGATAATAGTAAACTATGGGCATTAGAGTTGCAACTATGGATTATATTGGTTATTGATTATTCTGAATTGTTTGTCTGGTTTATTTGTCCACTATTTTTAATCAGGGCCCAAGATGAGTTCTTACCTGGAATCATCCACATAAACATTAATTTACACAATTTCAAAAGCCTGCATAAAAACAATACAGTTATGTTATTTAAAGTGTACACAAATAAAACGTATCAATCTTTTAGTTCAATTTTTTTCCTTCTTTATTCTAGGGATAGGCCTACTGGAGTTTTAATTTGAAAACCGGAAATGGAAGTATTATTTTTTCACTGTCTGTCTTGATGGTGGGGGATGAGTAATAGACAGGCAGGCATCAATGAGAGACACACCGCCTCACAGATCCTCACTGCTCGGCCTGTTTCATGTTTGAGGCTCCAGGCCGCGGACAGCCGGCTGTTTGTGACCCGAGCTGAGGATGCGGGAGCAGGTGTGGGCCTCCTGGCTCCCCGGCTGCCTGGTGCTCATCATCACCGCGCACACTTCATCTGCGTCCGCCGAGCTGCGGCCGTGCGACAGGGTGGGTGCCTTTATTATTGTCTCCATATCATTTAATGCTACTTGTTCTAAACACAAATGTGTAGCTTTCTAACAAGCCAAAGTAGCTTCAGTCTTTTTTAAATTCGTGTTCTCATCTAGAAAATTGCAAATATATTTTAATGGATGATCCAGTCAATAAAATGGCCATGCATGCAGAAATAAACAACCACATTATGGCTTCTCATAATGCACAATTAAAAGGAAAACAAGTCATTAGCCAGCTTAATATATTGGCTCAATTGTTTTTTTGAGCTATGCGAGACCACACGGTCCCCCAACCCAATGATCGGCTTAAAATGTGGTTCATGTGTTGACCATACAGACGCTCCATGGCTAGCAGCGGCCAGGTCTGCCCGCTGAGGAGGAGAGAGAACCGGGGGCTTTTTTTTTCCCATATCCATTTTTTGTTCATGTAAAAATAATAATGTTATAAGACATAGCCTGCTCTGTCACAGGTAAAAGTATTGCATTCAAAAGAAAGTACAAAACTAAAAGTGCTAATTAGAATGTTTTTTTATATAATATTTCAGAATAATATAAATTACATTAATGATAAGAGCAGCTAACACACCTTTAACAGTTGTTGTTGTTATTATTATTATTATTATTCGTTTTTAGATGGTATTAGATGAAAGTGAAGTAATATTTACAGTGTCAAGAGACATGTGGTTTATTTTTCCTAGTTTAAGTCTATAATTTATCCAAAATTATGTTCAGGCACTCTTTCGCCCTGATTCAATAATACAAAATATCAGTAGCCTATTGGAAGCCAAAAAGATTAGTGTTCATCTTTCCTGTTGTGTATAGCCTACACAAATCCTAAAACCTCCAGTCTAGATAATCTCCTGACTCAGAGTATGCATGGCGTTGAATTTTATCCAATGTCCCTCCTCTCGCTTTTTCTCATCAGTCTCCATGACAACTAGCGTGAGTCACCCTGGAGACCAGCGCAACACATTAGCACAATTTTTATCAGACTCACCTTTCCCCCCAAGCGCTGTTGTTTGTTCAGCAGGTGAATCTGAGCACATGTTTCTTTAGTTCATGTTAATGAGGTGCTCGTCCTCTCACAGTTTGTACACAGATTGCATGCTGGTGTGTGTTGGGGGATGGGGGGGTTCGGAATGAAAGCCATTTTAGTTTTTGCAGAGAGCTGAAGCTTATCTTTACTGCACACACCCACCTGCATCTGCAAACCATCTCTGATTAGTTTCTCCTCCCCCCCCCTCCCCGTCACACGCCACAGGTCGTTTCTGTGTTTGTTCCTGTTTAATTAGCTGCTGAATGTCAGTGCCCTGCTGCAGCCAGCTCCTGTTCTCCGGTGGTCCTCTGTCTGCCCAGTGCAGCAGCAGGGTCGGGGGAGGAGATGGATATCTGCCGAGAGAGGCTTTGGACTCAAGAGAACTCGAATAAAAAAAAAGGACAACCCAAGCCCTACTTACGGGATGTATTGCCTTAATTCTGTAGAAATTGCATAAAGCATAAAACTGATTTAAAGTCTTTTGACAGTTAGATATTCAAAGGTTACATCAGAACGAGAGGAAAGTGGGTGACATTGAATATCAATATTAAATATGCTCACTGTACTACTTCTTTTTTTACAGCCAAAAGATACTAAAAGTCTAAATACAAATATGCCTGTAAATATTACTTTAAATAGCAATAATAACTTGTGTTAGGTTACATGGAACCTGTTGAGAAAATCAATTGAATGAATGTCATCGTTTAATTTTTTTGTATAGGCCAGCTAGTTTCCAGTCTTTATGCTAAGCTAACTAGCTGCTGGCTGTAGCTTCACATTTAGTGTAAAGATAAAAGAAGTCCAAATCCTAATAGAATTTCCTTAGCACACCTAACATAATATTTATGAAATACAAAGCTGTTTGTTATTTTATATACCAGTTAACCATTGTTTAGCCCATAATATAATCAATATGGCATATCAAATAAAAAAGCAATAAATGTAAAAGTGTGGGAACAATAATTATTTTTAAAATGTTATATTATGAGGTTATTTAAAAAACGAAACATTAGAACAACAAGTCAATAACTTGTAATGTATGAGGTTAATGGATAATAAAAATGAATACTCAGCTTTTGTATTGAACACACTCATAATTGTCATGTTTAGCTTGTTTCTATTTCATTATAAATTGCCTTGGACAAAATGTTCCTCTTAATGAATGTGCAATCATTCGAAGAGGAGCATGATAATGACACAAGCAGCCGTCCTTGGAAAGAAGCGTGCCCTTAATGGACCATTCGTTTTACATTAGGTTGGTTGCCCTTGGTGATTAGGGTCAGCCATCAACTTTTAACCCGGCTTTTGTTTTCATATGAAATCAGCTTCATACTCGTAAAAAAAAGTTATGTTGCGTCCAGAACTGTATGTGAATCGAGATGAAGCACTTTGAGGGCTTTGCTTCGTCTGTGGCTGTAGTGCACTAGTCAGGGTGGGATAAACGGAAATAAGGGTGTAGAAAATAAACAATGATTTATGCGTGTATGTGTCCTGGTTTAATAAAAGGAGTCTACAGTTCGGCTGCACATACACCCTTATTGGTGATTTGAGCTAAAACCTCAGCTAACATCAGCATGATAACATTCTCACAATGTCCCCACTACCATGATCATATTTAGCACAAGTTATGTTTCCCATGTTGACTATCTAAGTTTGGTCTGCTAACAATTGTAAAATAGAGAATTAGAAATTGGCATATGACCGCACACAGGACATTATTTTTTGGGCCAGAGGTGACTAAAGGTTAAAGCTTGTAGTTGTTTAATTTTCTCTTTTTACTGCACTGTTAGTGTACAGTTTTATTATTATAATTTTAACTTTTTGTATTATGCTGCTGTGTTTGTTGTGTCTTTGTAACTCTGGCACAACAATTTCCCATCGGGATAAATAAAGTCCTATCTTATGTTATCTTAGCTTAGAACAACCGAAAGGTTAACAAAAAATGTCGACCAAATGTCAAAATAAAGCTTCCTGATTTAAACACACAAGCATACCCTGCTTCATCATCTACTTTAGTCTTGTTGAAGATGCACTTGTCTTGAAGTTTCC